AGAAGCAAGAAGAGATAAAAACTGAGGACATAGAAAAGAGAGGACGTAATTAACAAGGCAAGACCTCAGGGAGGCCACAGGGGAAGTTGACAAGTGCACAAAGGGCAGGGTTAGTTCTGGAGAAAAGACACCTGATTTTCTGAAATAGGAGAAAAGAATGTGAGAATCTGCGTTGCTATGGGTAAGCCTAGAAGTGAGGGAGAGGTGTGCTGAAGGAATGTCTCCACCTCCTCAGCAAACTACGAGGTCTTGCCATTCTCTGATAGTGTGTAGGCTGGGGGCTTACTTCCTGTGATTATAAAAATTTCAGAAAAATACTAACAGCAAAATAAAGATCACCTGTAATCCCACTGGGATGACTTTGGACCCATGTGAAACATCACAGTAGCATCATCACCACATTTCTTGAAACCCCATTTTTACCTTGGTTTGGTCAGGATCACAGAAATCAAGAAGAGTGTCACAGACATGATAACCTAGGGACTTCAGATCTTCAATCGTAAAGTGGGTATCTCTTTTACCACCTGGGAAAAAATCCATAAGCATTTTTAATTAAATCTCAGTGACTGAATGCAAATCTAAGTTATTTAAAATACCTGATTCTAGAATATTATGCTTCTGGACAGAGTAGCTCTCCTAGTTTTAGTTTGGTTCAGAACAATCTTTGACCATGAAAAAACTTATAATCAGGATGGCTGTAATTACTGAGGTTTTACTTTGTGGTAGGCCCTATGGCAGGTGCTTTATATGCATTATTTCATTAAGTAATACCTATAATACAGGTAGTATTATTACTGCCAATTAAAGAAAATGAGGTTCAAAGAGGTTAAGTAATTTGCCCAGGATCACACAATTTGTAAATGGAGCTGAAATTCAAATCTGCCTAATTCCAGGTCTTGAGCAACCGCTATGCTATACTACTCCACCAAGTATTATATTTCACATTCATATTTTGGGTACTCAAATTTAGCATAAGGCTAGACAAGGAAATCCTCTAGATCAGTTATCTCCCCAACATTCAAAGATATTTCATCTCCCCAGGTGCTTTGCTTGGCTTTCCCTTGCCATGCTGGCCTATGGTATTCAAAGGGGAGCTTACCCAGGGTGGACCCGCCAAAGGTAGACTCCATGGTGTAGCTGTTTAGGATTCCCATCCGCCACATCACAACTCGTCCTGTTCCTTCTTTGCACTTCTGGACCTTGAAATTACAACTATGAAAAGAGAACTAAAGACAAATCCAAATTCTCTGTTAATCATAAACCAGCAAACGTAAAATGTCTAACACTCATTCATATGATACAAGAATAGTTCCCTTGAGGGCTATATATTACTTCCTAAAGCATATTCCATAAAATATTAGTTCTGAGGGGTGTTAATAGGTACTACAGGGGAAGAAGGAGTTCTGTGGTCATGTTAGTCAGGGAGATGAAGGGTTAACAAAATTAAACAGGCTTCCTTTGCAAGACCTCTCAGGGCATTTAGTATGCTATTGTGGACTGTGATCTTCCAAAGGTAAGGGAGTATATTTGCATTTTATTTTCCAAATTTATTTACTCATGAACCCTTCCTTCCCCTTTCCCCCTCACCACTCCTCCAAGGAGAATTCTGCAGTACCAGGGTTCCTAGAACATCTGGGTGGCATTCAAGGCATGAGCCAATCTTTCTAAGACTTACTTTCTGCCACTCCCCAACTTGAACCCTTAGATCTAGTGGGTTTATTCTCTCTGTATTTGTGTATTCCTTACCCCCATAAACTCCGCTGCAACTCTCATTTTATCACTTGGAATTCAATATCCTCCACTGTTTTTTATGACCACCACCCCAGCCCTTTCTCTCACATAGAACTTGTAACATATACTCGCCACCTATCCCTACCTATCCTATCCTACCAAGAAGGTTTTACGGTTGGAAGGTATCTCAGTGTCTAGTGATTTTTAAATTGTGCCCTGTGGAATCCAAGGGTTCTAGTGAGGAGCCTCAGAGCATTTCAGCTTCAAGGACTAAGGACTGAGGAGGCAGAGGGGTCAGGCTTCCAAGCTCTCTTCCCACTTTAATTAGTTTGCTTTACATATGGGTTCTGCATATGATTTCATTTGAAGAAAAAAAGGAAGGGAGGGAAGGAGGAAGAAAAACTTCCTCTATTTTTTAAACAAGAACAATACAAAATATTTGTCTCATACATCCTTATGTGAGAAAATTTATACTATCATTTAAATACTTTTATAGATCCAATCTACTTTCTTCTTTCTGAAAGCTACTTTTTTTTTTTTTTTTAAGAGACAGGGTCTTTCTCTGTCACCCAGGCTGGAATGCAGTGGTGTCATTATAGCTCACTGCAGCCTCAGTCTCCTGGGCTTCAAGTGATCCTCCTGCCTTAGTCTCCCAAGTAGCTGGGATTACAGGCATGTACCACCACACCCAGCTAATTTTTGTATTTTCTGTAGAGACAGGGTGTTGCTATGTTGCTCAGGCTGGTCTAGAACTCCTGGCTTCAAGTGATCCCCTCACCTTGGCCTCTCAAAGTGCTGAGATTACAGGTATGAGGCACCACACCTGGCATGAAGCTACAATTTTATAGATCTATTTATAATGCAAAAAAACCCTTCTAAACCAATGCAGATTATCTGTATATGCCCAACTGTCACGAAGCTGTTAGTAAACTATTTAAAACTTTTATGTTGTTTTCATTAGCTTTTTAATATCTTACAGTTATTTGTGATCTTTTTTTTTTTTTTGTAACGTAAGAGATGCAGTCTCACTATGTTGCCCAGGCTGGAGTGCAGTGGCTATTCACAAGCATGATCCCACTACCCACCAGCACAAGAGTTTTGACTTATTCCATTTCCAACCTGGGCCAGTTCACCCCTCTTTAGGCAACCCTGGTCGTCCCCGACTGTCGGGAGGTCACCATAATGATGCCCAACTCATTGCGAACACCAGATCTGTACAGTGCACCACAGTTTAGAACTCCTGGGCTCACGTCATCTTCCTGCCTCAGCCTCCCCCTCCTCCCAGCCATTTGTGATCTTGTATTACATAACATTTTCTTTCTTCCTTTCCTTTTTTTTTTGTTTTTGAAATATGTTACAAGTGGTTTTAGTCTTTTCTCGGGTTTTTTTGTATTTAAAAATTTTTTTTAGACAGTGTCTCTCTCTATTGCCTGGGCTAGAGTACAGTGGCCTCATCACAGCTCACTGTAACCTCAAACTCCTAGGCTCAAGCGATCCTCTTGCCTCAGCCTCCTGAGTAGCTGGGACTACAGGCATGCACCACCATGCCCAGCTAATTTTTTTTTTTTTTATTTGCCCAGCTAATTTTTCACTTTTTTGTAATGATGATGTCTTGCTATGTTGCTCAGGCTGGTCTGGAACTCCTATCCTCAAACAATCCTTCCCCGCTCAGCCTCCCAAAGTGCTAGAATTACAAGCATGAGCCACTGGGCCCAGCCTACATAACCTTTTCTGTGGAAACTCATATGACATTAGCATTTTGTCTGGTCCTTCAATCTCTTCTTCCAGGGCCAACCACAGGATTAAAGGTCATAAATAACTATCTACTAAGAATTTCAATTTATGCCCAGGTGAAGCAGCCAGAACAATTTCAAAAAATCATCTTTATTGAGATATGGTTCATACACCATAAAACCCACTCATTTAAAGTACACAATTCAATGGTTTAAGTATATTCACAGAGTTGTTCAACTATTGCCACAATCTAAGTTTAGAACATTTTCATCACCCCTCAAAAAAACCCAGTTTTTTTGAGTAATGAGTACTGCTAAAGTACTCACTAGCAGTCACTCTTCATTTCACTCTCCCTCCACCAGCCCAGGGCAATCACTAAGCTACTTTCTTTCTCCATAGATTTATCTTTTCTGAACATTTCAAATAATGGAGTCATATAATATGTGGTCTCTTGTGTCTGGCTTCTTTCACTTAGCATAATGTATTTAAGGTTCATCCATGTCCTACAGTATCAGTATTTTTAATAACATTCCATTGTGTGAAACTACCAAATTTTATTTTATTTTTTTTTGAGACAGAGTCTCACTGTGTTGCCCAGGCTAGAGTGCGGTGGCGTCATCCTAGCTCACAGCAACCTCAGACTCCCGGGCTCAAGCGATCCTCCTGCCTCAGCCTCCCAAGTAGTTGGGACTACAGGCATGCGCCACCATGCCCGGCTAATTTTTTCTATATATTTTTAGTTGTCTGATTAATTTCTTTCTATTTTTAGTAGAGATGGCGTCTCGCTCTTGCTCAGGCTGGTTTCGAACTCCTGAGCTCAAACAATCCGCCCGCCTCAGCCTCCCAGAGTGCTAGGATTACAGGCGTGAGCCACCGCGCCCGGCCTATATTTTTAGTTTTTCCAATTAATTTATTTCTATTTTTAGTAGATACGGGGGTCTCGCTCTTGCTCAGGCTGGTCTCGAACTCCTGAGCTCAAACGATCCGCCCGCCTCGGCCTCCCAGAGAGCTAGGATTACAGGCGTGAGCCACCGCGCCCGGCAGACACAGGAATTTTTATTAAAGCCACATCTTTCTAAATTTTTGAAGTCTAGGTTGCTGGTATTTACCCAAGATAATAAAAAGAGATGCAAAGTACCAAATAATAGCCTGGTGGGGTGGTTCACGCTGTAATCCTGGCACTTTGGGAGGCTGAGGTGGGAGGACTGATTGAGGCCAGGAGTTTGAGGCTAGCCTGGGCAACACAGTGAAACCCCATCTGTACAAAAAATTTAAAAATAGCTGGGTGTGGTGGCTCGCACCTGTAGTCCTAGGTACCCAGGAGGCTGAGGCAAGAAGTTTACCTGAGCCCAGGAGTTTGAGGCTGCAAAGAGCTATGATTGAGCCACTGCACTCCAGCCTAGGTGACAGAGCAGGACTCTGTCTCAAAAAAAAGTGCTAAATAAAACACTATATAAAGGAAGCTGTGAGTTCCCTGGTCCCTAAGTCAATGGACAGAAAATTATCTTATGAGCTTACCTTATCTGGTGCATTTTTGCTTAACATTAAAGGGAAGACCCGCTCATGAAGCCAGTACTTGCGATTGTCGTTATTACAGCCATATAAGAAGATATTATTCTTCCGGCTGTGGCCATGGAAATCACAATACAGGAGAACCTCTCTTTCTTCAAGAAGTCTATTGAGGAGGGGAAACAAAGGACTCAGTGGACAATCAAATGCACGCAAATAATCAAAGATATGTGGAGTGTCTTCCTTAAGTATGGCTGTTGATACCTTCCCTCCTAAGAAAATCTCAACTTCAATGGCCTTCATTGGACCCTATCCCCATCCTTAGCCATTGTTAAAAACATGTCACCAGCATGCCTTGTCCCTGTTAATCAGAGGGACTTGAAATGGAAAAGCTCTGATACGGAAAGGGAAGGTGGGTAGGCCTTGTGTAAGTTGACAAGGAAGTGGGGCAAGCCTGTTGAGAAAAAGCCCACCCAGGAGCAGACCTGTGAAGAAAGGGAGGGAGGCAGAGAGGCTGCAGCTGCAGGAAAGAAAAAGAACTAAAGAAGCCTTGGCTCTGACTTTCCAGGGCCAATTCCTACAAGGCTCAGCTCTTGGTCTTCTGATCACCCAGGACACCTATTCCAACTGTTCAAACATGTTCACTTTCTCCATGATGATGACGGTAAGATGAAGAGGATAATATCAATAATGCTACATATTTATAATGTACTAGGTACTATGCTAAATATGATGGATCACATGGATTATCTCATTTAATCCTCACAGTAACCACCCAAGGAAGGTATTATTATCCCCATTCTACAGATGAGAAAGCTGAACCTGAGAGGTTAAGTCACTTAGCCAAGGTCACAGAACCGGCCAGTAGTAAAACCGGGTTTCAAATCTAGGCCTGTCTGACTCCCAGACTCATGCACACCAGCCCAACACTACTCCCTGCATTTACATAGGATGGTTAGAAGGTGAGCATGCACATATTCTCATGTGCTGTGAATGAAGAAAGGCCCTTCAAGGTAGGTGCCATTGAAGGCTATAGCCATCAACTGCTTTAACACAGGCTTGAAAACTGCTGACTGATTTTATTCTTTCTTCATGAGAGGCAATATAAGATAGTAATAAGGAACACAGACTCTAAAACCAGAGAGCCTGTGTTTAAATATCTACTCTGTCACTTACTAGCTCTATGACCTTAGGCAATTAATCTCCCTATACAACATAGGATATAGATTGTGGGTCATATGTGTTAAGCACTGAGAATAGTGCCTGTCACTTCATTTATAAGCACTAATTGTTACTTACTATTAGTATGACACAAGTCTCATCATGAACACCTATGAAATGCCTTGAAATCTGACCTTTTCCATTTAATTGTTTCACTTATAAGTGAAATGACCCTAGCTGAAATGCTGCATGTTCAATTTTAACCAAAAGATAAGACGTGATTTAAAAGTCTGAAAATAAACAAGCCCACTTGACTGCAAAGAGAATGGTAAAGACTCCGTCTCCAAAGCCACATTTGATTCCTATAACAACAGAAGAGACCTTATACCCCATCAGATAGGGTTGTCTGGTGCTAGTGCTCACAGCATTCACAGGAAGATCAACAGATAAAGGTCTTACCTTCTGATCATGTTCCTGGTGTACCAAATGCAAGGGAAAGTATCCTTCAGAATGGTTTTATAATGCCTGTTCAAGTCCCTTCCAGCCAAGGAACACCGATAATTTCCCACAATCACGCCGTCTGGATTTAACATAGGAACCACCTTGAAGACAAAGATATCTCTGAGGAGCTGGGCATCTGGGGAGTTGCTAAGGATGAAGTCCAAAAAGCCTTTCATAATCCAGGAGCCATTACTTTCCCCAGGGTGGACTCTGGCACTCAGGACCACAGCTTTCTTTCCAGCTGCCTCTTGAGGGGTCTGGGATGGATTGGTGATGGTGAGCAGGTAGACGGTATTTCCTGCTAGGCTTCTGCATAAAGTTCGGAGCTTGCAGAACCGAGACTGCATGGGGTTGTTTGCCACTGACAGGAGGTAGCATTGCAAATTGGTGTATGTATATGGGTAGAAGTGTGCAAAGAAGCAAGTGTCCTGGTCATGTGGAAACTGAATGGTCCATGTGAGACAGTAGAAGGGCTGCTGCCCATCATCTGTGTTGTTCTTATAGTACTTGATTTCATTTCCTTCTCTCCTCCAGCCAATGTTGTGGATGTTGGCATCCAACTGGGAGTACATGAGTGGCTTCATCCCTAATGTATAAAGGCTCTTGGGTTTGAGCAAGTTGACGATGGTGAAGCGATAGGTGGCATCTTTTCTGGTGTTCTGAACCCGAAAATAAAACCACTGAGTATGTTTGCTTGTGTAGAGGTCGGTTTGTAAGGTGAGTTCGTACTCATAGGTGTCTCTGTAATAGGGAAAATAGAACATGTCTGTAACCTCACACTCTCCTCAAAAACAAATATGGGAAAATATTTTTTTCCCCTGGTAACAATAGATCTTATTAAAACAGGAAAACCCACTACATCAAACATTTATTTTCTAACTTAGTTCTCTAACTCACATACACTAGCAGAAACTTGGGGAAGGAAAGTTTGTTTGGGATAGAGAAGAGTCTCAAAACGCACTGCTGCATAGGGTGTTTGGAAGTTGTGTGAGCTTCTTGGAGTTTTTCTAGAGTGCTCAGTAGCAGTTTCTAACCACTGCAGTATATTTATCTGAAACACACTGAACAGTAGTGGAGCCAGGGTCCTCTTTTGGCTGCTAGCATGTCCATCTTAGAGATCACTGCTGTGTTGGCTGGGCACGGTGGCTCACGCCTGTAATCCTAGCACTCTGGAAGGCTGAGGCAGGAGGATCACTTGAGCTCAGGAGTTCAAGACCAGCCTGAGGAAGAGTGAGACCCCAGTCTCTCTTAAAAATAGAAAAAATTAGCTGGGTGTGGTAGAACCAGCTACTCGGGAGGCTGAGGCAGGAGGATTCCTTAAGCCCAGTTTTATTTTTTTTT